CGGCGGTTGACAAAATATCAGCACAGGACAGCGAACACCAGCAGCTTTCACCACCACGACCTCAAAACAACAACAGCAAGAGCAACAGCGAAAAAAAGAAGAACGCAGCAACAGCATGAGCGGCTCGGCTCAGCGCACGTCCACACCGGGGGGGAAAATAACATCTTGAAACCATCCCGTTCCACCTGAGGGCGTTCCCGGACCGCGGGACGCACGCCCAAGCAGCAAGAAAAATGCATCCGAACATTCCACATACAATCTGAGTGAGTTCCCAGACCCTAGGTCAGAAATAATCAGCACCGCATCTCACCTGCTTTCTGAGTGCGTTCCTGGACCCTAAACCAGACGTCGGAGCGGGCGTCGAACAGTGTGCGGAGCAGAACCGCCGCCATGGCTCGCAGCCCCGCCGCCTCGCCGGCTTCCGCATCATCGCGCCCCAGGATGGCGCACATGTTCTCCAGAACCTGCGCGAACGGACGGCCACGTTAGACGGTGTGACGAGCGTTGTTGCGGTTTGGCACGTGTCTGGGTTGATGTTGTGTTGGTGATGGTGGTGCCGTTGTAGTGTGTTGGGCGTTACGCTGGTGGTGGAGTTTGGGTTAGTCCAACTTTCGCCCGTACCTGACGACAAAAACTACCAGCCTTCCAACTACAAGCAGCCAAGACACACGCGGGCGGCGACGGTGTCTCTTGACTTCACGACAAGAGGAATGACTTCAGGCTACCAGTAAAATACGAAATCCCGCGTGCCCATGCTTCATCACAAGACGTGGGCTTTTCCCAAATATATCCAAGCACTGGTGCAGTGGTGATCCCGCTGGCCCATCCGCCTGCAACAACCTACCTCGTCGGGGAGCCGTTGCTTCAGGTCTTCCCAAGCCACCTCCGCCCTCTGCCTGGCCTCGTTGTCCGCGTTAGTGAACGCCGCGAGTAACATTTCCAGCTGCTGTGGATTGCCCGCGCTAACTGCAGCAGACGTCATTTCTTGGCCTGCGCTGTGGGGGAACAGCGATTCAAGATGAGAGGGTGGGGAAGGGGTGGGGTTCTCGGAGAGGAACGGTTTGTGGGGTCGTTGCGTCATTGGCTCCCATACCGTTCGGGACAGGGCAGGCAGACCACACATCGTTCTGAAACCGCTGGCACATATGTGTTCTTCTGTCGCCACACGAGGATACTAGCGATGGACCGGGCAAGCTCGCTCGCGTGTGGTCTCGATACACTCGTTCCGATGGTGTATGCCTCGCCCGCCAAGCCGAGCTGGTTGGGCTGCTGGCAACCGTTGTAATATTCCACACACATAAAGGGGAGTTTTGAACTAGAGATGCCGCTGCTTGTTTTCACGCGCGTAAAACATCTCTGCTATCGTGGCTATCTACACTGCTCTTTCCCCGTCTGGATAACTTACTCCTCTCCTTGACCTGCCAGTGCTGTCCTATCTACTCCTCTCACCTCCTATGTTGACCTTGGCACATGAAGTCACACCCTCCACCGTTTCTAACGGTCAAATCCGAATTTGGGACCTGCATTTCACCCTTACGGTAAGAATGCTGAGATAATTTGGTATCTCTTCACACACTGCGGACAAGATCGCAACAGTCACTCTCTTTCTTACACCCAGCGGAAGTCTACCCAACTAAACCAGCGTTTTGACCACGGTCGAACCCTGCGATGTGTTCCTGCTACTGGGTATACGTGCCAAACCTCCCCGATTGCTGTTTGACAACGTAGAGTTTTGTAGGGGGGGTATTTGACTTCACAGTTTTAAGGTGTATTTTTTTTTTTTTCTTAGACCCATGTTTATGGTCGCCAAATCTTTGCGAAAATGTTTATATTTTCAAACATTTGCGGACAAAGATTTTGTTTCACTGTTTATGGGAGAAAATCTTCGCCAAAATATTCTCAAACATTTTGAAATGGGGCAAAAGTCGCTCGTTTGACAAAATATTCTCAAACATTTTGAAATGGGGCAGGTCGCGAAAATGTTTCCCAAGAGCGGCGAGATTAGTAGCCGACCGCCCCTTCCGTCCTAAACACCAACCACTGCGCAGCGCACACTCAACGTAGCAAGCTCATAGAGGGATCCGGGCAACCCTAGAGTCACCGTGTCAATGTTTTGCCGGCTGATACATGGCGGGAGCTCGTCAAGCGTGCACAAAAAAACAAACAGACAGGGGT